TACTATTAATAATAATAATAATGGAAGAAGTCTGTCATTGTCAACAACAGACCTGGCCCATGGTGCTTTAATGCTGATAATCTACTCTTTTTGTCTTTTAACTCTAAAACACTTTTCCATATTCAGATAATAGACTTTATGCCAAAAGTTTACAAAATCCAAAGCAATTTTGTACGAACTATCCCTTGTCATCTGTGGATTAATAGAGCTCTGTAAACCTGTCATGTAGCAGAAGAATTCTGCCCTGAGTTGTCACTACTTGAAGGTCTTACTCTACCACTATTAATGAACTGAGAATTGAGGCATGGTAAACTATTTTCTGCATTTCAAATTGGAGTGATTCTGTAGTGCCCTGAATTCTATCAGTTTTAGATCTACATAGAGGGACTAGTGGAAGAAAAAAGAGATATTTGTAAAGAATGTTGCTCTGGAGTCAGAAGCCTTGTGAAATAGGTATTAATCTCCTTTTTCAGGATATTAACACTTTTATTGCAACGTGACAATGATTAAACAGTCACTAAGTAAGGGGGAAAAAACCACCAGCCAAACCAAAAACCACAAACGGGTAATATTTTACAGCAGTATAACTGCTGAAATAGTCCAAAACACTCAGAACTGGGAAAGGAGACTGTACTACTTAAAAGCAGGGCTGTATGGAAAAAGGATGTCTTTACCACAAGTCTGTAAAGTGAATTCCTTGCTCAAGTAATACCATTTCTTTTAAATATTTGGAACTAAGAGGTAGACTCAAAAGTGCAGGTGATGGATTCAGGAGACTGGAAAACGATGGTGTAAGACTTTTTTTAAGTGTCCAAGTGGTATCAGCAACTATAGACCATTTTTGTGTAAGGAGCTGATCACATAGGTCTCCAGCAGAGATTCAGGCAACTAGATCTATCTTCTTTTACTCTTACAATATCAGAAATTATTTCTATAAGTAAATTATAATCCTCTACAAATTACTAACATGGCTTAACATGAAACAGAGAAATGAACGCTTCAAATTTTTGTGTTTTTTTTCCTCACCTGATTATTCCCACTGTTCTGATAAACCTATATTTCCAAGCATCCTTTACCTTAGTGTTCAATATTTCTGTGAAAGATTCATCAGGAAGATTCTAAATGTGCACTTGGAGTTTTGCCATGACTTTTCAGAGGACGAAGCCCAGCCCCAGATACCATTACACAGATGTAATAAATGTCATCCCCACTAATGGGCTTCCCTTCCCTCTGCTGACCCAACACAGAAAGTCTAAGTAAATGCAAATTGGTCTTACATGCAATAACTCTGATAAAAGAAAAGGACAATAATGGCTTTTTGAACATCATGCTATTCTAGAGGGTGCCCTCATTAGATTCCCAAGTAATAATATTCCTTTGCACTTCATCAAATGTGAACCCAGGTAATTAACTCCGGTTTTGTAATTTCAGTTTCAGTCATTATCATGACCAGAGTGAGATCGACAAGTAAAAATTATACTATGACCAAGGTCTCAGCTTTTCACAGACCTGATTGAACACCTTTTCACAGGACTGCTGGTACACCTGGAAGGGGTTGAAGACAGGCTGCTCTTCTTTGCCCTTCAGTGTCAAAGGCAGGTGTTGACTGGAGGTATCATCATCTTCAGAAGCATTCTCACGAGACAGCTGCTCTTTCAAATACTCCTTTTAGAAGAAAAGACAACCACAAAACAGCATATGCCACCTAGATTTCTAAGTGAAATCTGCTAGATTTGAAGTATAACTTCACAGTGTGCTTAAGAGAAGTGCCTCATATTAGAGGAAATAAGTAATTGCTTACAAAGTAGAAACTTTGTGGATTAACACCATTTTACAAGAAGCAATAAACAGCCACCAGGGATATCAATCCAACTGGAGCAACTCAGAAAAATCCAAGCCAGTGTTCTGCAACTGTCAACAAATTATATATATAAAATGAGAATGGATGCCTCTGTGTGTATGTATGTTAGGTATATCATAGAATCATTTAGGTTGGAAGGGACCTTTAAGATCATCAAGTCCAACCATTGAGCCATTAGGGCTCTAAAGTCCTCTGCTAAAACAGATCAGAATCTGTCAGGGTTGGAAGGGACCACAAGGATCCCCCAGTTCCAACCCCTCTGCCATGAGCAGGGACACCTCCCACTAGATCAGGCTGCCCAGAGCCTCCTCCAGCCTGGCCTTAAAGACCCCCAGGGATGGGGCCTCAACCCCCTCCCTGGGCAACCCATTCAAGTGAAAACCAAATGTTTTCCATGACCTGCTCTAATCTAAGATGGCTATCACATGATTTATTTTACATAATGAACTATGCGCAAATATATAAAGTTATTTTTTTGAACAGCATTAAATGGTTACTGCATGACTACAAATTAACTGACAAACATGTTTAAGCCAGTTGTTTAAGCACAGGAAATAAATACTCTCCCACTCTTCAAAGCTATTTCCAATTGTTTAAGCATGCAAAGACTAAAAGTCATTTATGATTTACATGGCAATTTCAGAAACTATACTGCAACAGACGCATGATTATTTTGGCCACAATATTCTCTGTTTTCACTTCTTAAACTACTATGTAAATAAATCATCATTGCATGCCAATAACGTGTTTTGATTAAATAGAACCATTTTACAAAGAGCTGGATAATGAAACACTTACAGATCTATTTTCTGGAAGGACTCCTGTGATTAAACAGTTTATTGTTATTAAAATGAAGTCCATAATGATAAGATTGCCATAACATTGAGCAAGTACTCAAGGTGAGTCTTCATTAAGGTGGGTGGATGCAAATGCTCCTGTTACACTGCAGTACTACTGAGATATTAAAAATCTTCAGGTGCAGGTGAGGGAACATGTAAACTACCTGCCAAGGCACCCTGTGCTCCTCAGTGGGTCTTTCTAAAAAGAATAATTTCATCATCAGTTTAAATTAATCCAACTGTGGTCTGGCCTGAAAGGCACAAGTTCCCTCCCAACACACATAGACTGTAGCTGTTTCTCCCTTGTGTTGGCACTAGCATATGTTGTGAAATCAGCCAGAAAAAAGAAAGGTTTCAGCCAGATAAACAAGCCACATGATTTCTAGTACCAGCACAAAGGGCCTGGGAGTGGGAAAGCACGAGGGCAAGGGAAAGAACAGGACTGCCTCTCTCTGCCAGTTGCAGCCCACTGTCAGGATAGCCAAAGACAATCAGAAAATCAACTGAAAAAAGAAGAAAAAAAAAAATATCAGAGCTTTTTTTTGTTTAAGACAACAGCAAAACCCAGCTGTGGAAACACACCCTAAGTCTCTTACCTACATTCTCTCAGCCTACAAAATGCCTGGTTTGGGGTTTTTTTTTCCCTTTTCATTAAGGACTGCAAGCCATAACAAAGATCTTAAAGTCGTGTTGAAGGGGGTTATTTAAAAGCCATTTCTACACATTTGCCAATTTTTCATAAATGTACTGCCTTCCATGCACCCATTTTATTAAGATCTGTAGACAGCTCTGAAGCAACCCAGCACTCCAGGTGTCACAGAACCAGCAGAAACAGATTCTGTTGTTTTTGGGGTTTTTTGGTTTTTTTTTTGTACAGTTATTGGAAATTTCCACCCATGCTTGAGAGGGTTCAAACATTTTCAGTTGTACACAGCTCGCCTCCCAGCACAGGCGTATTCTGTCCTAGTCAACAATGGCAAACACATAGTTTAAGAGTTTCAGAACTCCTTTACTATGGTACATTTCATAGACTCTGAAAGGGTCATGTTTAAAAAATCTGGAAGTAGATAGAAATGAAATCACCTTTGTAAACATCTGACCTATATCCTCATGATCATTGACTAGGCATGAAGCCAAATAGATGGATTATTATTGAGCCTGAGAGTTGCTTCCTCCTTGGAAGCCATTAGTCAAGAATGCTTTTAAAAATGACTATTCTTCTTTTATAAATACATGAAGCACTGTAAACTGTTTTGAGTTCAACATTATCTACTACAGCTCTTGATAACATCATAGCTCTGTTTCCAAATACAGCTTCCAAGAATCTATATCCCTTTTCAGCCACTTTTCTAAAGAAAATTGAGGACAACAATTTTCTGCCTCATCACTTTTTTCTCTATTCACACACAATTATTAGGCAGAGTAGCATAAAGATCTCCAAACTAATTTTAAGAATAGGGTCCCTTGACAGTCCAAAGAGTCTCCAAACAAAACGATGGACCTCCAATCAATTCTTCACAGTCTGGCACATTAAACATAATCTAAGATGTGAAAAATAATATCGAAAATGCATTCTTGTAATACCAAGCTAAATGTTTTGTAATGGTTTCAAATGCAATTTAAAATAACACTGTTAAGTCCTTCTGTGAGTCAAGCTGGTCAGGATTTTTTTTTCTTTTTAAGAAAAAAAACAAGACAGTTTTTTCCACTGAGAAATGTTCTATATTTAACAAAGCCCTTACTAGCTGCAGAAATTCAAGGAGAGACACCTGGGATGTGGGAAGTCAGGCTAAAGTCCCTCTTCCACCTAATTCTCTCAGCCTCTTACCTCCTTTTGGAGCTGCTCCACTTTGTATAAATAACCAAATACTCACAGGAGCCAGATCTTGGATCGGGGTCTCCAGAACCCGATGTGGGCATTCCACCCCTTGCAGCTAGAGTATCATTCTATTTTTGACCCCAGAAGTTATAGAATGGATTTTTACAGCAATTTCCACCAGGTGAAACAACTCCAACAGGGGAAAAGGACGGAGCTCCACGCAGGCAGCTAATGGCCTAGTGATTTGGGGAGTTAGCAGACCCAATATGTGGGAGGTGCAGACCTAATTCCCCCACCCGAATAAAAACTCCAGCCTGCACATTCAGCCCCTCAGTGACTGCCCCAACTCCTGCATTAGATGCTATTTTTGGAGGTCTTGCTCATCATCTTTTCCTCACTCTGCTACACTTAAGAGTATTCCTGAACGTGCTCCAGGTGAAAAGGTTTTGTTTGAATGGTGTTACAGTAATAATTTTCACTTCACTTCCAGAACCATTTAATTGTTTGAGATGAAACTTGAAAAGATTCTGTATTGTATTAATATTAGGCTGCCATCTCTACCTACATGCTTACATTGCTTCTCAAGCTTCTAAATGCAGATGCATACAGGTTGCTTTTAAGCCTGTACTTAGGGACTAAACAGTTGATCTGATTTTCACACAGTGCCAGTACTGGGCTGCTCTCTATCCCCTTCATACACACAGAGCTGCCTAATCTGTTTCTTCTTTCCTTTTTTTCTGTATTTTTTTTTTAAGGCCAATCTTGGCCTATGCCTATATTTGCATTATTTTGCATTTTATTACAAACACTTCTGTACACTCGCCATGATCTCCACAGCACCTGCTTATGCATTCAAGGAACAGCAATTTAGCAATTGAAGCTAATAAACAGAACTTTCTTAATTAAGCCGTGTAGATCTGTGTTATCATACAATTTAAGCCAGCCCATGTTTATTTCAGTGTATGAAAATCAGGATGCTTTTGGTAACTCTGGGCCATTTAGGACAGCCTTAGAAATAATGAGATAATTCTCTCACGTGGCCCAAACTCCACGTGCAGCAAACAAAATGTGAATTTGTTTACTGCAATTTCAACAGCACTTTAACCAAACTGAGTTCTTAAATAGAGTAAGGTTTTCATGTGGATGCGTTTACTTCCTCTCTACTGCTGGAGGGTTGGTTGGTTTGTTTGTTAAACCAGGAGAACTGATTTACCACGTCTAATTTTACTTCCTGTAACAGTCCATTTTTCAAAAGCCTTGCTGACTTTCTTTATACTTAAACTTCTTTTTTTTTAAACTGTGTTCAAACTCCTCAAATGTATCCGTGGTCTACAGTATGAAACTGAAGGAGGTTTATGAGCCATGCTCCTGTTTAAGTACATAAATAACATCTCCATTGTTTCCCACAAAGCAATCTTTTCGGTACAAAGGCAGAAAAGCCTAAGCCGAATGGATTCTATTACAATGCAATATAGGATTTCATATTGACTTTAAGAAGCATTATCACCTCCTTGACTAACCCTTAGCTGCCAGCAGACGCTGCCTCAGGCCAGTACACACCTAATTGCTCGGTAAAAAGGCCGTTTCCCTACCTCATTGAGCCGGATGATGTGATAAATTTGCCTCAGGTAGTCGCTGCCACCTGGTTTGTGGCAGATATCCAGGACCATCATGTTTATTTTCTGCTCAGTGAATCCAAGTGCAATACCTCCTTCCTCTAACGTTGCACCTTCTACTGTGACTGAGGCACTAGAATATAGAGAAGATACAAATATTTCTATGTTAAATTTCTGAAACTCGAAATACTAATACAAAATCAAACTAAAAGGACTGTTAAAAAAAGGAAAAAGATTTGGATTTAGAGGACTGGGATTTAGAAGGCTTGGCAGTAGAATATAGAAAAGATAGAAACATTCACGAGTTACATTTCTAAAAATCAAAATATTAATACAAGCTCAGTTAAAGCTACATGTTAAAAAAAGTATAATGATTTGGCTTGCATAAAACAATTGTTGCTGTATGTACATCTCATAAGACTTTACACAAACACATAATAAATGCTAAATAACATCTGTGTATTATATTTAACCTGAAAGATGAACACATAAAACGTTTTTTACGGGCCTATAAGCAGCAAATATTTTTTTTTTTATTTTATTTTCCACTAGAGAAGTATCCTTGCTACCAGAAATGCCATTTGCATTTGATCTTTTGTACATTCTTTTTTTTTCCTGTCGCTGCACATATTAAAGCATAATTAACATGTCAGAAAGGTAGCCATTACTCTAAGTATAGGTTAGAAGTTTTAAACTGAAGTCTTTTTCTTCCCACTGGTACGGTGGTAACCATTTCAAAGGTGCCTATTTGCCACTTGTTGCACTTTTTGCCCTGTGCTGCTCTGTGTTCTTCTTAAAAGTATTTCTGCAGAAGCTGCTACAAAAAAAAAGAAATCTGAAGGTTACAGGAGCAAACGACTTCAGACTGTGCACTCCAAACTCTGACCATTGTTAGACTGACCTCTCTACTCACAAAGGTAAGCTACCAGCTCTGTGCTGGTGTAGTACTGAGCAGCATTAAAGAACTAAGTAAAAAAGTACCAAAACCTAATTATTTTCCTCAAATATTAGAGCTGCAACACAGATTAATCTATATCAGCATCATGGCACAGACGTATCAAGAACTTGAAAGGCCAGCAGAGTGTATTATCCCTTCCACAGTCATTACTGGATTAATTTAGAATAGACCAAAGAAGCATTCTGGATCAGAAAGCAATATTTTAATTTCTTAGAAGAAAAACAAACAAAAAACCCAACACTTTTTGGTACAGTCAGCTATAAGCTGCTGCTCACTGTTGAAAGTGTGTGGTGATCACAAAGTTAGCTGTGCCCAAAGTTGATGTTTGACCTGCAGGCTCCCTGAAATGCTACACAGCTGCTGGACATTAAAGCTGATATTGCTTCCACATGCAGCTTCAGCACGTCCTACAGAGCAAATAGTTTCAAAATATAAACTATAATTTTGTTCTTTGCTGAATGGAGGTAAGAGATACTCTGTTATTATGGTGTATTTTACAGAAAAGCTTCACAGAAATTGATCTCCAGAACAAAAGCACACTTAAGGCTGATCCTTCAGTGGCACTTAGAGATAAAACCTGAATTTCTTGTCAAACTTCTTAGCGACTGACATTGAAAAAGTTGAGGACCTCTGGCAAAGGAGTGTATCAGTGTCAGTGCCCAAATTGTATCCTTTCCTGCCCGTCACTGTGCAGGTGAAGCAGATGATTGGATTCAGTCAGTGCAATGATTAATGAGTTCCTCTCTGGATTTGGGACTGCCTATCAATCATGTCATTAGGAAGAATGTGCCCTGAAAGAGGCAGACCTCAGCCAAGGAATAACTGCATTCATCTTAATCTGTATATGCACCCAGCCAGCCAAGTCAGGGTCACCAGGATGAAAAACAATAATCTTCAACTCGACAAATTACTTTGCAAAGACAGACATTTCTTTTCTTCTCGGGTGCCTGTTCTCCAGAATCTAACGTGGCTGTTTACAGCTCTGGAGCTACCACGAAGTGAAGGTTATTTTAATGAATAGTAATGTTTCCAGGCAGTGCACAGACAGGCAATGCATACAACTGCCACTTTCTGAGCCTTTCATTGAAGGTTTTTTTTTTTTAATCTACCTAAAAACTGCTAAATTTGTATGCCACAACAGAATAACCTATATAATATTTACACTCTTTATGTAGCTAGCAGTCCTGATAACAATAACACAACATGAAATCAAGCAAGACTTTTGCTTACAAAACCCCAGTGCACTTTGAAGATGTTTCCACAACTGTGTAGGTGAATCTCAAATAATTTTTTGCAATTTATGGGGTTTATTTACTTCTATACACTCCATCTATTGAAAGTCTATAACCATTCATAAATATATATATACAAATGAATGTGCATACAGACACCTACAAGCTCCTTTAATTATGAGAAAACTCTACAGAGCATAATTGTACATCAACTTAAGATTTTCAAATATAAGCATTCTTATTTAAAAGAACTCACATAAGCATCAAAAGTTTCCTCTTGAAATATCTGCTCTGAGTTTAGTGATTATGTGACCACGACTTATGTTAATTGATATTTAAATTTCAGCTGTAATAGATTAGTTTTATAACTTGCATTTATAATAATGATTTCTTTATACATTGCATATCTCAGCTATTTATTAACTAGTTTTTTTATCCCCCCCAGAAGCAGACTCATGATTTTTGAATATAAAATGGAAAAGTCACATTTCTGCTAGACTCCTGTTGCAGAAATCCCACTTAAATTAGGGGACTGAGGTTCATAAATACATCATGTAACTACCTACGTGGGGAGCAGGTAATGCATTCTTCAGTTTCTTAAACTTAGCATTAGGAGCACTAGTCACAAATTAGTTTTCACTTTGACACTATAGACATACAGAAAACATTTTCTCACATTCATTTCCCACAGTCTGATACCTGATAGATAACAGAGAATTATTGCAGTATGTTGGAAAATAGAGTAGTATATTAATTCACAATTCTCAGCTTCAAAAGTGGAAATACTGACATCTTAGTTTTTAGAGGTTATCCACAGCATTATCTTCACATTTGCATTTTTTAAGAAACACCTATTGTCTCAGTGATATCAAAATTGTATTGTGGAGCCATTCTGTTAAGTATCAATTTACACGTTATCATTAGGGCTTTTTAATTCTGTGACTCCTTCAGCCACTGGCTCTGGCTTCAATCTTTTAATCACTGGATTATAGCTTGTAAATTAGTATTAAGTGGAAATTTAAAGATGACAAAGGTCAATGTCAATGAGTATTCATGGGACACCATAATTGCTGAGTGCTACTCATGTTAACTGCTTGTATAAAGAGGACACAGTCCCTTAGAGCACCGCGTGGAACTCTGTTCACTGGTGCCAGTGATTCCAACCTGCAATCACTATGTGCTTTGTTTATATGGACAATTACTGTCAGGGTAGCAACGACTGCAACCTTCAAGAATATTTATTGAAAAAATAAAAGCAATCTTACTTTCAGGAGTCAACAATTTAATTCAGTGAGTCATGTAAGTCCAATAAATCTAATATTGGAGAGCTGATGAATAGTATTTTTATAGAACGGTAGACGATGTCAACATTAAAACAGATTGGACCAGGAACACATTGACATGTACACAGCTCCTTGAAAAATCATTATAAGGATTTAAAACACTCAGACCTTAATGTCAAATCTGCAGGGAAGGTTGATATTTCCTCAGAAAGGCACAGCAGGGTACTCTCCTTGTCCTGTTTTGATATATCCTACTTGCCCTCAGGGTCTGTTATGTTTTAAAATGAAGTATGCTTACTTTTTAACCACAGATGAACACTGAAAGCATTCCATAGTCCCTCTTAATCACCAGAGCAAGATTAATTAATATATTGTGGTTCCTTTTCGTCAGTGTACCTGTTCACATTGTCAAGGATACACCAGATAAATTTTCAACATTTCTGAATCACCCTGAAAATGTGAAATCTTTAAGAACTATGAAGACACTGTTCTGATGAAAAAAACATGGTTTACAGTTTCAACCATGCAATTAAGTTGCAAAAATATGCTATGAAACATCAACATTAAGAACTAATCCATTTTCTGTAGGATCCCTGTTCATCTGGGATACTTTTAAACTGAACAATAGCCATAAACATGCCAATAACCCAGTAAAATAAAGGACAAACAACATTTGAAAAATACCACATTCTTACCAGTCTATGCTCAATTTTCTTGCCTTTAGCAACTGGGTCTCAATCCAGTTTGGTCTTTGCTGCTCAATGCTTTGTATAACCTTCTGGGTCACTTGCTTGGGACCACTTTTCTGTTTTCCCACAATACTCTCTAAGCACACACGAACTAAACTGAGCTTTTCTTTGCTCCATCTGTCAAGTGTTGCACCTGTTAAAAGTTCTGCAGTATTTCCATCCTCAAATATCCGACATATAATTACAATCAAGTTCCAGACAAGCAGACCAGCTTTCTTCAATTCAGCAAAGTTTCTTGACATTTTTCTCTCAGCCAGAAAAAAGAAGTACTTAATTGGGGGAGGCAAACATGCAATCACTGTAGGTAACTTGCTGATTACAATAGATACTGCCTGAGCTGCAAGCCTTGTGAAGCCTTAAAAAAGGAAAGAAAAGAAGATATGATTAACATTAACATTCTAGTTCTATCACAGCACGCTTCTGAATGTTGTATGATAATTTCTAACTTTCTTTTGTACTGAAAATGGGGAAAAAAAGCTGAAGTACTCAACACTGCAGCTTGACTTCTATTGTGCTTACTTCCACCTAAATCCCACAAAATCTAAACAATAATACGAATTAAAAACAGAGAGCCTAGAGAATTTAGAATTCAGACTGTGACTCTCTTAACAATTAGTCCTGCTGTGCAGTTATCACAGAATAAATGAAAAAGACAACACCCAAGCACTCTGAATGGTAAAAAAGTTGCCTTCAGAATTATAATGTAATATTTTTTCAACTTCACAAGTGGAGCATTATACAAAGTGTCTCAGGATTTTACATATGTTCTTAATTTTTAGTTTTCTATCAATCTCTTTCTACTTCCAAACCTATGAAACTTGAGTTTATCAACTTCCATGTAGGCATGCACACGATATAGCACTGCATTTTAAACATTCCACATATTAAAAGTAGCTACAGGAGCAACTACAGAAAACAGGCTGCTCAAAACCCAAGACATATACATGGGTTTGATGGGTGGACCACT